TCGCCAAAACGATTATTTCCCACACCCCTAGTCTTGATATGATCAGGCCAAACGGTAACACAGATTCTTCTTCCAAGCTACTCTGCCAAAGATTTGCTGATGGGATTCAGACTCGCTGCTTTGTTTCATGACCAAAGTCAGGAAAAAACTGTCGCCACCAAACAGATGACCTTAAATTTCCTTCCAGACTACTTTGAAAGAGTTAATGGTAGGCATAACGTCTTTCACAAAGCAGTTCAGCCACAAACACAAGTCCCTCTTTATGCTTCCTCTGATATTCACGCATCAACCATCACATCATCCATGTTTGGAGAAGATATCACATCTTTTAACTAAACTCAGCCAAGTGAAAAACAAAAGATCTGTTTGAGCTTTCCAAATCCATCCAGTATCGAAGGTAAATAAGTCTCCAAATATTTGGCTGATTTTACCAGCCCAGACCAGATGTGTCGAGCAGTTGACCAGTGGAAAAAAACACAGATGAAATCAGGATATCTGTCCCATCTCTGCACACTTAAAGGGACTTCGTTCAGGAAAGATCTATGATATTTGTAAAATGTTTTCTTTGTTTCCTTATATGGAAAGACAACAAAATGTTTATTTTAGGGGACCTACCTACAGTGGTCCGCTAAAATACCTATCTATCTACAGTGGTCCGCTAAAATACCTATCTACCTACACTTGTCAGAAAATACCACTATAATATAAATATATATAATAAGTATTTGAACACCCTGCTATTTTGAGTTTTAAGTTCTCCCAACTAGAAATCATGGAGGGGTCTGAAATTGTCATCGTATGTGCATGTCCACTATGAGAGACATAATCTAAGAAAGAAATCCAAAAATCCAAATATATGAATAGGTAACTATTTATTTGTATGATCATCTGCAGATCAGTATTTGAACACCTGTTTATCAGCTAGAATTCTGACCCTCAAATACCTGTTAGTCTGCCTTCAAAATGTCCACCTCCACTCCATTTATTATCCTAAATTAGATGCACCTGATTGAGGTTGTTAGTTGCATAAAGACACCTGTCCACCCCATACAATCAGTAAGAACCCAACTACTAACATGACCAAGACCAAAGAGCTGTCCAAAGATACTAGAGACAAAATTGTAACCATTTGGATGATCAGAGGAGTCATGAAACAAAGGCATGTGGTCATATGTGACCAAAATAGAACTTTATGGTCATAATTCCACTAACCATGTTTGGAGGGAGAAGAATGATGAGTACCATCCCAAGAGCACCATACCTACTGTGAAGCATGGGGGTGGTAGCATCATGCTTTGTTCCTGCATATGGGAGAGGGTGACTGCACTGTATTGATGAGAGGATGACAGGGGCCATGTATTGCGAGATTTAGGGGAACAACCGCTTCCGTAGTTAAAGCATTGAAGATGGGTTTAGGCCTTGTCTTCCAACATGACAATGAACTGAAGCATAAAGCCAGGATAACCAAGGAGTGGCTCTGGAAGAAGCATATCAAGGTTCTGACGTGGCCTAGCCAGTCTCCAGACCTAAACCCAATAGAGAATCCTTGGAGGGAGCTCAAACTTTATTTTTCTCAGTGACAGCCCAGAAACCTGACAGATCTAGAGAAGATCTGTGTGGAGGAATAGGCCAAAATCCCTCCTGCATTGTGTGCAAACCTGGTGAAAAACCTACAGGAAACATTTGACCTCTGGAATTGCACACAAAGGCTACCATCCCTAATATTAACATTGATTTTCTCAAGTGTTCAAATATTTATTTGCAGCTGTATCATATAAATAAATAATTTAAAAAAAAAATCATACATCATGATTTCTTGATTTTTTTTTTTTGTAGACATGCTTCTACAATGACAATTTCAGCCCGCTCTATGATTTCTAAGTAGGAGAACGTGCAAGATAGCAGGGTGTTCAAATACTTATTTCCTCACTGTATCTATATATGTATAGAATATACATATATAATGTTGAAGTATTTTTGCTTCATCCATTAAGTTCTTTTAGACGGGATATATTCATAAAGAATGGCATTTATTTCACTCTAATAGCTAGTGGTCCCCATCGCTGACCTGCATGGTTTCAGTGTTTCTCTGCTTCAGCAGAATCCATTGTAATGAATGCTTTTCCTCCTCAGCATCCCACTGGGTGCTACTGAAGCCTGTTCAACACCTTTTTATTTAACAAATGTGTGGCTGCAGCGAAACACTTAAAGCATGCAGGACAGTGAGCCAACCATGGTTGGAACCCTCTGGTATAAACTCACAGGGATTGTAGACACAACATGAAGAACAGCTTCCCACACATGAGGAAGAACAACAGGATCGGTGTCGTCGATACTGAGAAGAACAGCGGGGCAGAGTCGTGCTACTTCACTCTGGACCAGTTGTGGCGTGAATCGGCACAGAGCGCAAATCATCTCAAAAAAGGCCCCTCTGATCTGTGGAGCAACAGATGAAGAAAGAACATCCCAATTATCATTTAGACCAAGAGTTTCCCTAGTGACTAGTTCTTTCAAAACAAGAGATTATTTTTCTCACACTGCATCAAAACTAGCCTTCAGACTTTTCTCAATCATATAGTTGGAAATTTATCTCAGTGTATATCATTCATATCTCCAATTTGAAGAGTAAACATTTAACCAAGCTTTTGTGATTTATTAAACATTAAGGAAAAAAAAAAAAAAAGATGAGTGCATTTCAATTTTATTTTCCCAACTTTATGAGCTAGAAAAGTAGAATGAGTAAAACGGTGTGGGTAAAATTACATTATTTTACCACAGATGGATTTAAATGTAAAAGTTATTTCCTACTGTTGTTGGATCAACTCTTCTGGGAGGTAAATTTTCTCCTTTCTTTCTTTTTAGGAAATGACTCACATTCCTTAAAAATTAGCTCAAAGTACAATTAATTCTTAACACTTTTAGAAATCTACGGTAACTTAAAGGGGAAGTTATTGTATTATGTTTATAATAATAATAATAATAATTCAAATGTAATGAAATAAATGGATCTGAAAGGCCAATCCCTGTTTGTTTGTTTATTTAATACTGACAGCTGTTCTAATTTTCCCATCAAAGTTTCAGTACTGTTTTACTGGTTAGTTTTTCATTTATTAGTTTGCAAGGGTTGTTCGTTGTACCACAGTTGACAATGTTAGAAGCAGCTCTGGAAAACACAATTCTTAAGAACTCCTTTGCTTGTTTAAGTTTTTCTTTATCCTAATTAACCTAAATCATAAATTAACGTTTATAAGGAAGATATTTTAAAGGTATAGATTTATTTTAAGGGACTGTGCAGTATCAGCTCTCTCATTCTTGAATCTTCATTTAATTCTTAATGATGAGTTAAAAAAGGAATTACTGATATGTTACTATTTTGAACGTCTTATTTTACCTCTGAAGAGTGTGGATCTACCCTGAAAAGATTTAAAATCAACTCTTCTTTCTGTGCAGGCTTTATGTTTTAACATCATTTATGTATAGAATATGTTTATGTGAATTTTTGGGTTTTATATAAAAGAGAAAATTAGAAATTGAATCCCAACCTGGGGTGTCTTGTGCTTGCTGTATTTCCAGAACTTCCCAGAGCTAACCAGAAGAGCTAGTTTCTGCTCCAGTGCTGCTCTGTCGTTCTCGAGCAGCATTGAAAGCAGTTTCTTCACACCCAGCAGGGAACTGGTCAGCAGGCGAAGATATTTGGCTTCTCTCTCCTCTTCTGTCACACTTCTGTAAAAGACAAACAAATGCATCAGCAAATCTATCACTGTAGACACAAAATGAAAGCAACAAACAGTAGATCAATTAAAGCTCTTTACATACTGTGGGTCACTGAGAGTGTCGGCCGTTTCCTTTAATAGGATATCCTGAAGCACCTGAAACACAGCTGGCATAAATTAAATGTGTCTTGTTTACTTACAGCTTCTGAAATGTTCTATATTTTGATACGTTATGATCACAAACATTAATGTATTTTGTTGGCGTTTTATGTAAGAGACCGACACAGAGAAATGCTTAATTATTAAGTGGAAGAAAAATTCTGCAATATGGTATTTAAGATAAGATGAATAAAATCATTGCGTAGCATTTATTAGGTTTATTTTACACCTATAATATATATAAAATCACAATTATATTTTTTTTATAGATTGTGACAATTAGTGTGTAATTTAATCTCCAAATTTAAAGATTGTGGCCTACATACGAAGGGAAATAGTGCAGTAAACATCCATGAAACTATTGCCATGGTGAGGTCAAAGCTTTGGGAAAGCATTTCTTCAAAAGACACAGGGAAGCTAATCAGAAATGGTAGGAAAAGGTGAAACTAAATAACGGGCGATCTTGAAATAATTCACCAATTGGAATAGTTTGCATAGTTGGCCTGTCACAGCAACACATTTAGCATGATGATCAAATTGTCCAAAAAATAATTGCGATAAACGATAGTCGTTAGTTTAAAATTCAAAGTGCTCCCACACTGCAGCTGTACAGTTCGGCTTTGAAAGCATTTCCAAATCTCATCCAGCATTTCTCTGGCTTTCTGCTCCTCAGTCTTTGGCTCTAAGGAACCTTCAGGAAACTATGGGAGCTGGTGAGTGGGGACCGATGCACCAGAGAGAAAACTTTCGCCACCCAGACGAAGGAAAGGAAATGGCAAGAAAATTAGCTTATTTAAATTTATCATGCGATTAATTAGTCTACCGTAGTTATGCGTTTGAATTGCCCAGTTAAACTTAATCTTAAGAATAGTGAGAATCTGAGACTAGATTTAGAGAAAATGTTCAGACTTCATGACTTAACCTTTAATTACTGTGAAAAATGAAAAAAAAAAAAAAGTTCAGTCCTAAATGTTTTGCGGAGCTGTTTGGAACGAGCACAAAAACCTTCCGTTTCACGCAAATGCAGGCTACACTTCTAAGATTTACTAAAAGTCTGAAATCCATGTATCATTTTAATCCCACTTCCATTATTACAGAAATAAAACCATACCAAAAAAAAAAAAACTGAGGATTTTGGTATTAATATGTAACAAAACAGGTTTAATGGTAGGAATACTTAGGAATGCACTGTGACTTATTTTAGCAGAATCCACATTTTAACACTAAAGCAAACATTACCACTGACATTAAGGATCTCCTCCTTGCAGAAGCCGAGAGCTTCGGGCTGTTTAGCAGGCGAGAAAGCAGCCTCAAAGGCCTGGCATGCAGCAGAGGCAGCAGGCGTGTAAGTGTCACACTGTGACAGAATCCAGTGGCCCATCAAACTCTTGAGAAAGGGGGCCAGGCTGCGACGCACTTTTAGCACCAGCTGTTCAAATGCTTGCTGAGTGGCTTCCCTGATGCGCCGGTCATGATCCTAGCACATAAAATGATATGAAAAGAAACATTAGTAAAAACATTAACCATTTCACCTATCATAAACCATATAGGAGTTCCAGATAGGAATTTATAGACATATGCTGTAGGTTCTAGATTCTTGATATGATGCAAAGCATTACATGATTGTCTTCATTTAGGCATCAATTCAGGCTTAGCGTACGTTTAAAAATAAGAGAATCACAGTCTACTTTGTTATCTACCGAGTTTATAAAACCAAAAAATGGGAATTCTTTGGTTTTCATGCAAAACAGTTTAATTTTAAAGTAATCAATCTGCAGACCTGAGAAAATCAAAGGGGTAAAAAAGTGCTCTTTAACTTTTGCTCAGTCGACTGTTTCATCTTAAACAAATGTTTAAAAGTGAGGATCCTGAATGGGTAAGTGACTGCAGTGTTGCTTTTGTCAACGATGATGAAATTATTTTGTTGTCGCTCCTTTTTTTTTCATGACGATAGCGAGAACCAACAAGCTAAAAAAAATAAGAAATAAACCCAAATTTACCATAGTAGAAAGAAGAATGTTTTTGATGTTTTACATTGGCATGGTTTTAGACATAAAACGTTGTATGTCTAAAACCACTACTTTATTGTAAATTTTGCTTTTCTGAGACTTATTGTTATAAAGTAGGGCATTCATTCATAACATTTTTATTTTGCTTTCTATAAATCAAAGTTTTCTACCCAACAGCATTGATAAACTGCACGGCAGCATTGTATCTTCAACGGTCGTAGTATCTAGGATAGAGCCGTCAGTCTGGTAAGGAATATGGTTATTATTCGAAGCTGTAAAGTTTAGCTGTTTTATGAAGTTCAACATAAAACTGACTAAAACTATTAATAGTTTTTGGCCTGAAGACCAAAACTAAGACTAAATCTAAGATGGCTGTAAGAAACAACACTGACTGACTGACTGACTGACTGACTGCAACGTAAAGTGTTACAGGTGGTATTGTGGGAATTGTCCAGGCAGTATAAAAGCGGAAGCTGTGAGCATTTCTTGAAAGGTGTCAGTTTCCATGGGACACCTCTTGGTTCCATGCATGTTGTACATTTGTCAAGAATGTGGGTGAGTGTTTGTAATAGTGGGGGTTATACTGAATTTTTATTAGGACAAATACACATTTGTTTCTTTGTTAGGAGGCCCTGCAGGGTTTTTTAGACCAGGGTGTGTATGCGGGGAGATGAGGGTGATGTACACGATACACAGGTATTTTTTTTTGAGATTTTAAGGTAGTTATTAAAACTATACATTGATTACATTTTTTTTTATTTGGTGTTCTCTGTTTGTTTCCAGATCCTGCTGTCCTTAGGTTTATGTTTTGTTTTTTTAGTTAGTCCGACTTTGTTTGGTGTCTTTGGTCCCACTGTTCANGTGAGCATTTCTTGAAAGGTGTCAGTTTCCATGGGACACCTCTTGGTTCCATGCATGTTGTACATTTGTCAAGAATGTGGGTGAGTGTTTGTAATAGTGGGGGTTATACTGAATTTTTATTAGGACAAATACACATTTGTTTCTTTGTTAGGAGGCCCTGCAGGATTTTTTAGACCAGGCTGTGTATGCGGGGAGATGAGGGTGATGTACACGATACACAGGTATTTTTTTGAAATTTTAAGGTAGTTATTAAAACTATACATTGATTACATTTTTTTTTATTTGGTGTTCTCTGTTTGTTTACAGATCCTGCTGTCCTTAGGTTTATGTTTTGTTTTTTTAGTTAGTCCGACTTTGTTTGGTGTCTTTGGTCCCACTGTTCACTTGTGAACTGTTTGTCTTTTTCTTCTTATCTTTTTTTCATTAAATAGTTTGTTTTTTCTGTCCTTGGACACTCCAGTGTTCAGTGGTGATTGTGTGCATTGTTTGTTTTTCACCCGATGCTGTGAAGCCTTATATAAGTGTGCGACTTTCTTGTCTGGTTAAGCAGGTTTGTTCGCCATCAACCAATGTCAGAGTTTAAATATTATATTGTCTACCTTAAGCAGTCAGTGTTGTAGAAGGGAGGAAAACTATTTCTTTGTTTAATAAAGAACATATATATTTTTACGACCGAGTTTGTTTCATCTTTACTCTGGTTGTTCCAAAAGGAAAAGCTCACCACTGATATCTTGCAGTAAATTCTTGGCCAGTATGGGAGAACTCCTTTCACCTCCTCTGCATCCCTTTCTTGACACATGGTCCCAAAGTCCTGCACTGCCTGGAGAGAACATTGCTTTTAATAGGCACACTGAATTTATTATATATATATAATGATAACATTACAATTAAAAAGTTTTCAGCTGTCTGAATCTGCAAGCAGCTCAATATTGATAAAATCCACAGCAAAAAATAAAGCTAGCATCTTCAGCTCACCTTGAGTCTGGTGACGACATCCCTCTTTGAGAGTTTCCTCAGCACCAGGCGGAAATCAGCATCCACCTGGTTATCTATGTCCTCCGCTCCGTGGACAGCTGGAACATAACTCAGCTCAGAGGTGACCGTAGTATCAAAGCCCACGAAACCCGGGATGGCGCCACCTTCCCGGGCTAGAACCTCGGCTGCTCGACCGCTACTGGATGGCTGAAAATAATTGGGATAAAAGGAAAAAAAAAAAACATATGTCGGGTGGTCAGATTGGGGTCAACTATAAAAACACGCATGGCGTTACTGTGAGCTGAAAACACGAAGTTAGTGTTAGCCTGTGCTAAGGATTGTAGCAACTTCTAACTGCACCGAGTCAACACCGTTTGACAAATACTGGCGCTTACTTACCCGGACGTTTCCTTTTGTGCGCTGTTTGTTCTTACCCCCCATGGTGGTTTTGTTTGTTTAAGTTTTAACTGTGTTTTTCATGAAAATGTGTCCTTACTAGCTATCACACAGGAACTCCATCCAAGTACCCCGGACGTGTCTATGGTGACACACATTTACTTAACGTTACGTCACTGTAGATCTTTGCATATTTAAAGTGCAAGTAGAAAAAAAAGCCTCTTCTCGCCCCCTAAATCGTTTAAAAACTGGTTTGTCATCATAAAACATGCGAGTTAAAACGGAAATTGTAGAATACTGAATACCACATCGGTATTATTGGTCCTGTTTTTAAATCTGGACACGATCAATTTGGAAATTCCGAGTATCTAGTACACAGCAAACGCAACATAGTCATGTGACTTCTTTATTTAGTGGCAGGTTGGCAAGTAACGTTTAGGAGCGCATGACCGCCACCTTCTGAACAGGATGTGGATCAACATTTTAAAATGTCCTTACAAAGTCAATCTAACTTCATTTGTTTAAATCTTTCAAAATTAAATAAAATCTGCAAAATTAAAGAGCTTAAAGGAGACATATTTAAAGAGCCTTCTAGTTAAGTCTTCCAAAGAATAATTAAGAATATTCCTCTAGAAGAAAAAAACACGCTGCAAGTAATTGGTATAATAAAATCAGAAAGGCTATAGTCCTTTATATTTGTCTGGTTACACTCTTGATGTAATATAATTGTTGACACAAGAAAATTTTTATTTAAAGGATTTTGCAAAGTTATACTGCTCTTTCCTTAAGAATTCCGCCACACCATGGTTTATTTTCTGCTATGTTTAAATCACTTATTGGGATTTTTTTACCTAACAAAGTATGGCAACTACACATTTGTGGTACACAAAAAAAAAATAGTAAAAGCTACAAAAGTAGCTCAAAAACAAGCAGGTTGTGCATTTGGATTAAAAAGTATTTTAATATAAACCCTCTTTACATTAATAATTTTTTATTACATTGAAAATATATCTATGGACACTATATCTACTTAATCTCACAAATATATGTACATATCTTTTGCTAAGCACTTGCTATATTCATATTTTCCGGTATGGAGGTCATATCTATATCACACAGAGTTAAATTCAAGTGATTGCATAATTTAACGTAAACAAACTTGTATTTCATATAACTTCCAGAGATATTTGTGCAAGGTTTCACAAAGTATATGAAGTTTACATCAACCTTAATAAAAAAAAAAAATAAAAAAAAAAGTATGTTTTGTGGTAGACATCACCTCTACAATGAGCTAGTTTTTGTATAATTTTCAGGCACATTATCAGTTTAATGAAGCCTCCTCATCCCTATTCAAAGAGAAAAAAAAGTATATAGTTTATTTTTTTTTTTTTTACAGGTCAACCAATTTGTGTATGGTATTCCCTTCATCAGAAAAAAGTATTTAAACACAAATCAACATAAAAAAAATTGGTTCAGCATTTGCTTTATGAATAATAATACAAAAAATGTGTTAAAAAAAACAAAAATGATTGGTAGAATGATCATATTTAACTGCAAGGTGCCCAAGTCTTATGTGGATGTTCACCATTTATGAATTTAAAGTATTTCCATAAATAAAACATAAAGCCAGGCTTCACAAGTCAGGATGTCAACCATTTAAACTGTTTTTTACCAGTTTTGTTCAGAAACGCTTATTTATTATTTTTTTTATCCATGCCGCACAGCAATTCCACCCAATAAGTACAGTAACCTAATGCAGCCCTGCTATTCTTTTCTTCACACGTGATCACTATGACTCAGGTTGCAAAATTAACATTGATTTAAGAAAAAATCTTTATAATCCTCTCATTCGACCATTCTTTCACTTACAGAATTTTGAACAGAAATTCATTTTACAAACTGCAGCTTTTAATCAGAGTCAGAAATTTGACATCCTCGTTTCCGTTTCAACAGCAATGTTAAATCTGAACCAGACTGTGGTTGCGCGTCCTCTGGTAGATTTAAAAATGCTACAATGCATCAAGTTCACAAAAACCAAAAACTTCTCTCATGAATTAGGTGTAAAAACATCAATTTTTGCATGATTGATCTAATGAATGTGCCTGTGGTCCTTCTGAAACCAAATGTAGAACAAATGTTCAGTTAAACGATTGTCTCAACAGGGACAGAAGTATTTCTATTGATGGTTCATGCATCACCGTACATTCCCCCTTGCCATTCTAAAAATAGCATATATCTGGTCCAGGAAGATAAACTATTTCGACTTTTGATGATCTTTGATCCTTTTGTGGCTCTCAAAAAGAAGCTTTCCGGTGTTGCAAAATTCCAAAGCAAGAGTCAAAATAAACTTCTGTTGGGCAAGCAAGTCCAAATGTGACAAACCAAACCCAAAATAACATGCTTTGAGTGCATCAGAGGGATATACAACCAAGGAACTTAAACAAGTTGCTTGGCAGTATAAGAATAAGTTGATGCAGGAACGCCTGAAATTGCAAGATTAGGTTTCTGTTAACATGCGACATGTGATTGGGGGCCATCTGAGGTGTTCAGATCGTCAGAATAAAAGTAAAAGGTTAGACAAGAATGACGCTGGTTTTCTAGGTTTCGAGAAAATAATCAAATTATTCCTAAGACATTGAACCTCTCTGATTAATAATTACATGTAGCATTTAGTTTTAACTCACTTTTCATTCACAAGTTTTAGATGCATTTAAATTTCTCATTAAAATAAAAACGGTCCCATAAACTTCACTGCGAATCCGTAAACATTATGGAAACCGTCTATCACATTTTATGTTTTAGTTCAGATTGTAACATTTGAACTATAAATTCAACCAAAGGAAAACTTCATTTTTATTTTAACTAAAATAAAAATAGATAATAGAGGAATGCTTACATTTAAAGAGAATTGTCCCGCTCTCCTTAATTTGTAAAAAAATACATTACTTTGCCCGTAAAGGAACCAGAAATTAAGCAGGCTATTACTTATATGAAAAAAACATTATTTGAAATGCCAATTCCCTAACAGCATGACTCTAGATGCCACCTAGTTTAAAAATCACTGCCTCATCTGACTGTACTGTGGGGTAATTAAAAATCCAAAAAAAAAACCTCACAAAAACTTTAAAAAGTATTTATTAAGAGTTATCACTTACTACCTCTGTCCTTAGAGATAAACATTGCTTCTATATACGTTCATTTGTGGTACAATTTAACAAATGCTTGAAGCCTTTTATAGAGAATTTAAACCAGAACTCTAAACTTATTACCTAGAGCAGATTGTGGACCTGTTGCAGCAAGGTTTTATTATTAAGAATAAAAAAGCTCAACTGAACATACATACAGTAGTACCCAAATGAGCATTAACTTTGCCCAGATTTTATTCAGTCTATGCTATCCATCCCTGATCTAAACAAAACCAATGAAACAATTCTATCAATCAGTCACAAATAACAGAAATGTGACTTGAAAAATTCCCGATAGCAAGACTGAATGATTGAAATTATTTGCGACTTAAACGATGAAATATATAAACCTTCCCAATTAAGTAATAGTGAAGATGACCTCTATCACTATAGTCTTCATTTCCAAAAGAAATTAAACTTTTCAAACAGTTTGAATGGGCAGACAATATTTCACCTTCATTTTAACTGATTGAAAATAAACAGTTTTAAGAGGATTTGTCTGTTATTTTGAAGTTATTGTTTCTAATCTTGTTCTATTAGAAGCAATCATTAGTTTGTTTGCATGAATAGACTTTTAACTATATGGATTAGTTATGATAATGCCAGAATGTATTTTTATAAGTCGCCTATTTTTATAGGGACTCATAACCAATACGGGAAATAAGCGTTAATGAGAAAATGTCAGAATTAATGAGAATCTATTGACTGAAGGAAGGATTTAAAGCGATTGTCATTATGTTGAAGTCTATCTAGGATCTGCCTGGAATGGTACTCTGGGGGAAAAAAAATGGATTCCTCTTGATGTCTGCTTTCCTTGGTTTAAGACCACAATTTTATTTTTTTTACTATTATATTTTCAAAGTAATTATTATGCAACTTTTTATTACATTAACCCGGCTACCTCTGAGTGTTCAGTCACTGTCAGTATGCTTTCTTCCGCTGCTACAAAATTGACATTCATTACGTCCTGCTGTAATTCAACCCTCAGCTTTTATATCATCCAAAACTGTATCCCTCCCTTTACACGTAGCTCAAAACTTTTTCATCTGATCAGTTACAGGTATGTCAATTTTCACAAAACCTCAAACAACTCTGCAGGAGCAGCCAGTCTGTCCATTTTTTCTTGAGGTAAACTCTGCAAGGGGCAGGGGGAAAGGGGTCTCGCTTGAGCTTTTGCCTCAAGTCAGCCAAGGTTGGCGTCCCCTCCAGGCGGAAGCACAGTTGGGCTGAGTACTGTGGTGTAGAGGGGGTCCAGTTTGGGCACGAAGCCTTTAAAATTCCTGGATGCCTCTGTTCCGAACACATCGAGCAGCTCTCGATTCATCAGCGCAAATCTGGAAACAGACAAGGAACAGCCATTAAAAGACCAGAAAAACAGCCTGGGATTAAATTCATTCACCTCTAACTCATGAACTTTTAAGTTACTCACAAATTTCCTAATACCATTAATATCTTTTCTGTTTTGTTATGTATATAAGTTTAAAAAAAAGTGAAATATAAGATTTATCAGCCTCTTTATCCAATTTTTGAAGGATCAATAAGAAACTTGTCATCCAAATGAATCTAGACGGAAAATAAAAAAAACAATTTTTTCCATTTTTATTTTTCCATTTCTTTATCCCAAACTAAGAAAAAAGAAAAAAAAAAAAGAAAAGAATAATTCTACAAATTTCACAGGCTGGGTGTTAAACTATATTCTTCACAAAAGTTTTCTTGTATAATAAGCAAAGATGACTCGATTACACGATCATACCTGCCCTGTGTTAAACGCAGGAGGAACTTCCAGTATGAAGGTCTGAGGTTCTGCACCTCCATTACCGCCTGTGGAAATGTGATGAGTCAGACATCTTTACTCAGCAGAGAGAAAAAGGCTAAGTAAGCATATTCCTGCTGGGCGTTTTTGTGAAAATTCTTCACTTACGGCATGAAAACAGACAGCAGTGGAAACGGCGTAAATAATCGTATCTGCGTGTGGAAAGTAAGGGAACCGGCCAGCTTCAATGCCTTTGAAGTACATGGTCTGAAAAGAGAGATAACATCTGTTATCAACTGTAAAAATGGAATCTAATCTGATTTCAGATTAATTGGAGCTCATTGATAAGGTCAGCTCTAAAATCTAAAACAAACCAGCTTAACACTTTTCTTTAAATAACTGACAGGCAAAGCAGATGTCCTCAAAATCTAAAACCTGTGCCAGTACTTTAGTGACTTTAACTGCTTTAGATATTGAACAGTTACCCGACTCAACATTAACAGATATTACCACAGATATTAAGATAAAAGCAATGTTAACTAGCTTTTTGCAGGTCTAGTTTTAATATCCTTCTAATAGGCTTTACACATGAGAGGAGATATCTCTCCACCTCCGTTTATTTCTTAAGGAACCTGAAATGGGGCGACAGTTGTTTGCTCCTCCTCCTGCAAGGCCCTAGAATCAGTGATGGTTTTGCTGGCTGATCATAAATTAAAGGAGAGGTCCAACTGCAGTCTGCAGTAACTTACAATGTTGGGAAAAACAATCTTATGTTTTGCTGTGTCGAACTTCCCTATAATCATATGATTTCAGTTTGTTCCTGTAAAATCCTCTCACTCTTCTTCCTTGCTGTCTTGTCTGTTACAGGCTGCTTTGAAAAAGTCAAATTTCCAAACCATAACTACTGCATTTGAGAAAATAAATCAATTTAATCAATACTGACAATTATGAAAAAGATTTAAACCATATTTTAAATGCAGCCATTTCTAAATGCAGATAATGCTATTGCTTTATGATCTACTTATAATAAAACCAAGCATTCAATTCAGCCTAGCTTTTAGCATTCATCTCGGGTGCATGGTCGTCTGGAAAGTGATCTGTTTCTTGACATTTACTTCTTAGGTTCAATTCTGCGTATATGTGGTAAATTGAGAGGCTGAGTCAGGGCTCAACGGTAAAACTTGACCCGAGTTGTGACGTAGTGAGGCAGAGACAGCGTATCCATTTTCCATGTTGCTTTGCCCGATTTATGACTAATAAGGAAGCCTAATTTCTCTTGCTTTGAGCTGGTAGAACATCCAGAGGATTCCTACGACCTTGTGGAGCCATGCTGGGGCCGACACAGCTCGTACTCTGCAGGTGTGAGCGGCTTAAGTAATAAACTACGTGGGTTTTGCTTCCAGAGTTCGTTTCTTACCGATTCCCTGCAAATTCTTCAGGCTGATTAGCTTTTTGTCTGACTTACTATAACAGAAATACTGCCAAGCTGGTGAACTACTAAAACCCCTTTTTTGGGACAGTTTCCTCCTCTACTCCTTGCTGAGAATCACTAACTGAACAGTACCGGAAGCACGATCTGTACCATTGGCTCATTTGCGCACGTGCAAGCAGAAATTCATCAAGGTCGCCATAAATAATGTAAATTATGTATTTATGGTACTAAAAGTACTTATTTCTATCCTTAAATCACTAAAGAATGCTAATACGAATGTTAAAAAAAAAGACTTTTCTGAGACGATGCTTTTTAAATTTTCTCCATTAAACTGCTTGTGTGATGTCATCATCAGACATGCTCATAGTAGTTCAGCAAAATATGATTAAACCATGTTTATCTGCATTTTAGTTGTTTCTTTCTTTAGACTAAGCCCTATATACCTTAATGTAAACACGAAAAGAAAAAATAAACCCCAAAAATACTAGATTTATATTTAGATCCAAAGCTGAAAAACTTAGCTCCCTGAAGTAGCATAGGATCCCATTTCAGGTACAGACAGGTGAAAAAACAGGAAGTACATTATTAACCTTTGACATATTATAGTTTAGTATGCTTACTATTTTTAAATAGGGAAAAAATGTAATTGACGTCTTTTTTACTAATTAAAATCAAGGGAGGCCCAGATGTATGTACATCTGGTTGCATATGCGCATATGAGCTAAAAGGACGGATCCTTCTAGCGGTACGGATCGGTAGTGACTAGGGATGCATGATATTGGGATTTTAGCCGATATCTGATATGCCGATATTTTAAAACTTGTGTAGCCGATAACTGATATCGATACTGATGTTAAAGCTGGACAAAAATAAGTAGTCATTGAAAATAGCAGTTTTGTTATCCATTTCTGACACTTAAAAATAATATACTCTCAAATATATTTTAATATGCTGATATCAAATTGATTTTTAAAAACACGGTATCGATCTATTTTAATTTCAAAATCTTGTGAAATTTCATCGTTCTGTTACAAACTCTCGTGATATTTTGCAAATTCTTGTGAGATTTTGTTAGTAAAATAGATCGATACCGCGTCAATATATCAACATATAAAAATATGGCAAAATTCGTGAATTTTCGGGGGATTTCGTAGCATAGTGATGACATAAAGCAATATTTTATTAGTAAAAGAGATTGATATGGTGTTTTTAAATGACAATATATCAGCATATTGTGATATTTTAATGTATCAATATTTTTTCCCTCGTCTTTAGAAGTTTTTAAGTCTGTAAAAAAGAAGTTTTTGAGGAAGAAGAAGAAGTAGTATTTTTTTTTTTTTAGACTTTAGAAACTCAGAAGCTGATCAAATATCGTGTAAATATCGGTGGGGTGGCCAATGTCCGATATTCAGTTTTAAGGCCGATACCGATAGATACCGATAGGGGGCCGATTATATCGTGCATCCCTAGTAGTGACACTGAGACATCTTTACTTGCTCTGTGTTGTTGTCTGGGAGTTGTCCAAGCTTGTTTAAGTCTGTGTTTCTAATTGGTTAAGGGGGAATGAATGCTTGTAGCATCAAGCTACATGATAGGCTACAGTGAAAAAGAAAAAACAGCTTCCATATCAAAATTTGATCAACCTTTTTTGTGTATCACGCACCACGCGTCTATTGATCAACATATTATTGAATTATCGTTGAACCCTAATGTGCAGTCAATATTGTTTCAATTTTAAGATGTTACACTTTTCTTGGAGCCTGTTTTTATTTTTTTTGAAAACGATGCTACTGCAGACTATTTCTGTTCTTGAGCTGTTATGATCATTTTCCAGCTTCCCAAGTCTCCCTCTATGATAATAAACATGTATTTTTATGTCACTAGGTGTATTTCTGATTCATTTACCTCCACCAGCTTAGAGAAGAGATACATGGTTATAGTTGTACTTTTGTAGAAGAACATGGAAACACCAGCCAGGAAGCCTTTAGAGACAGAAGAGGGAGGGGAAAAGGACAGCTGTGGCACATTTTCCATGAGCAAAGATGCGGTAACAGATTGCTCTGCGGGTATTTTTTTACCAGCTATCAGCGCATGGAGTTCATCGTCAATGTTACGCACCCAGCGTAACAAGCAACTTGTTCCCTTAGAAAACAGAACAGAATGTTTTTTAGATAAGATAAGACAGGACGTTCTGATGAGAGCCTGAGAAAGACTGTTAACTATAAAATTGAGAACTTCTTCATAAGGAGAAATAAAATAAAGCTAAGGCAGTCACACACCTTATAAATACTGACAAAAGAGCCTAGAAAGGCCCCCAGCTGGAAGTTCTCTTTGTTGTAGAAGACAGAAGGGAGACGAGATGGTTTGGAGAACATCTGCCTGAATGCTGAGGGCACTTTGAGACAACACTGGATAAGATAGCCAATACTGAACATCCTGACAAAACCCTGTGGAGAGAATTATGATACATCTTGATTATTGACTTTTAATGTGCATACATTCAGAGCACTTCCATCATAAGAAATATTAAATAATGAGCCTGACCTTAACACAATAGGAAATGCAGTTATCCTGGTAATGTTTACAACATCTGTGTCTGGGACCCTTTTTGCATCTGAATCAGTATAAATACAAATAAATCAGTGCCTAGCGCTGCTACCCACACATTTTTTCTACACCAAAATGTTTTTGTGTCTCACATTGATTCCAGCAGCTTCCTTGTGTAGGCTATCAGAGTTTTCTTCCTTTGGTCGGGCCTTTCTACCGGCGGCTGTGAGGGCTCCGTCTCTATGGCCGCTGGTCTCTCAGAGGGCCTAGTGCTAACAGGGTCTGCTGTGTTAGAGTGAGTTGGGATCTCCTCTTTCCCAATGATGAATCTGTGATGGATAAAAACACAGAATTAGAAACCTCTATTGGCATCTACCTTGAAGCATAAACAAAAGCTGGTGTGACTTACTTTAAAGCAGAAAATGCAAAGCCTTTGAGGCCGTCGTTGCTCCTGAAAAAATAAAGCAAAGCAGATATCAAAATTTGAACTCTTGTAATTTCTTAGTCTTTGATATAACTGATCTAAGTAAGTCTCTACCCATAGATTTATTCAAGTAAAACAAAAAAAACAAATTTTGAAGTCTCTCTAAGTAGGATCATAATCCTGATTAAATGACAACCTAGATGACGTTTGAGGTGGACCTCCTCACATAAAAACATGTTAAAGCTACTTTTTTCCCCCAACTCTTGAAAACAAAGTCAAGCCCCTCTATAGATTGCAAGGAAAATAACAGAGCAGCACCTTCCAGTATCCAGAGCATTCACAGCATCTGACTAAAATGTACGTGTCCAAGTTGAGACGTTGGGTGGCTTTTTGATGCTGAAAATTCATTTGTTGTGAACGCACAATTAGTCTCATTTGCTCATCCAAGCACCATTTTCCTTAATGACTTGTTGCAAACTTCAAAAGTCTTGCTTTCCACTAGGGCTGCAACAAAGATTTTTTTGCAAAACGTTTAATCTGTCGATTATTTTTTTTGATCAATAATCGGATAGTCAATGTTCCTTAAAGAAGAATTTTTAGGAGATTAAACCAGGTGAAACTAAAACTTTCCCACTTGAGGAGTTTTGTATAGAGCATATTGACAAACAAAATGTTTTTTTTTCGTTTTTTCGTTTTTTTCCACAAGGCCTTTTTTTCCCCACTTACCCCGCTGTAGAACTCTGAAGCTCCTATGCAGTTATCATGGTTATTCAGATGGACTTTACGAGTTGTTTCAAGTGTCGAGTTTTATTTTAACTAGTGTTGCACCGATACCGATACCAGTATCGAATGGTGGTATGGTGGTATCGGCGAGTACCAACAAATAGGGCACCGATACCATTTTGAGAGCCATAAGTTTATTCAACTACTGTCACCGACTCCTGGTAGGCAATAAAAAGTTCTACTGGATTCACTTTGTATTAGATTTTTTCCTGCTTCACAAAGGTAGGCAGCAGCTTGACAAAGCCATGATGGCGATTATTTTACATTATTATGGTATCGGTATCGACCGATACAGCACAGCCAGGTATCGGGTATCGGTATCGGGGCCAAAAAATGGCATCGGCGCAACACTAATTTTAACATAACCCCACCCTGCTTAAACTCCTCTTCATGTCTATCCTAAACTTGTCTGCTGTGTTCTTTGAGTTTTGATATGTTGTTTGTTCTTTTTTGTTCTCTAACAAACATCTGATGCCTTCACAGAACAGCTGTGTTTGTACTAAGAATACATCTGAGAGGGGAAGCAGTTTACAAATGACCCGACAACAGGCAGCCGGCGTCACTGGATTCCCTTTAGTGGAATCTGACTAATGCAAGATAGATGACGATGTAAACTACAAACTTTGGGAAAAAAATGTATCCTCTCCTTTCACAGATCACATAATTCAAATACGACAGATTAATTAAAACCTTTACAAAATGTGAGAACAGGTTGAGGTGCATTAATATCGTTTAACAGCCTTAATTTACCCGTTACCCCACTGATGAACAGAATGCTCTTACCTGAAGAGAAACATAAAGATTGATGCAGTTATGCAGAACAGGAGCACCTAATCAGGGACAGAATAAGAAACAGAAAAAGTTAGGGCCACTGAAAGAAATATTGTTCAAATCATTTAAACGAGTCGTACATAATAATGTTATCTGTTTAGGATTATTTTAAATTCATAAGACAATAACTACACCTGCCAAATAATATGAATATCTAATTACTGCAATATTAAAGTTTTCAACATTTAAATCACAAACGACCGTTGGAAATGTCATAAGTATTGGCCAATAAAATAGCCTATAGATCATCAAATGCAGGTTTCCTAATATCATGCAGCCCTTTTCAAAATAAAAGCCATTTCCATTTCTGAATTTGAAAATAAGACTCATGCAGGATGCAATAAATAGATATATAACAGATTTAATCAGAAAAAAGCATGACTACCCAGCTGAATGGCTTCCCTCAACCCCTTCTGATCTTACCTCTCCGTTTCTAATGGGTTTAACTAAACCTCTTGTCACTGCCATGCGGAACAAAGTCTCACTAGCCTAGAAAAAAAGACGACGGAAATCAGGTTTATTGCTTTTCATGAAACAAGGTGATTTGCAGTTGAACAGAGATATCTTACTAGATTTGCCATGTATATTGTCAGCAGACCTCTCCTGGTGGGAGGAAAAGAAGGTAAAAAAAAAATGGGGCATTTTATTTTCTCTCCAGGGCAAAAAATTGGCAATAGGACAAAAATCAAACCTGCTTTTACGCTCCAGGAGAATGGCAATGTAGGAGGCAGGCAAAGCTGCCCCAAATCCAGACGACCATGGATAAAACCCTCCAAACAATTTCCTAAAATTAGACAAACACAATCAGCCTTCAAAAAATCCATAAGCGCAGTTTTTTAGGCAAATGCAATTATAAGCTCTTCAAAGAAAGTCCAAAAAAATCTCGTGGTTTGATTGGTGTCTAATATCACACTTTGTGTAAAGCTACATCCACCTTACACAAAGATGTGAGTGTAATTATGCAGGAAGTGCTTCAGCTCATGAGAGCAGCTCAGGATTCAACCGTAACACAGTCTGTAACTGATGCATATTGTCACTCAGGATTTTGTAGGTGACCTATGTTTGAAGTACATAAGAGCCTAAGAAGGGATTCTAAACTACTAATACTGGAATGCTACTTATAATACCAAGGCTTAAGTCATTTAAATTATTAAACTGCTTCATTCATAAAACAAAAGAATAAAAATTATTGTAACTGTAATTAGAAATGTTTGTCTGCTTAGATAATAATCAAAGAATAAAAGATACCTAGATTTATCTTTAGATTAAAACTGTTAAGTGGTCATTTAGCTTTCATCACAATTTGCAGCATTTGTTATAATAAAACAAATCCATAGGTAAGTTTACCATTTTTTTAAACGACAAACCTGAGAATGCAGAAGAAAACAATGAAGAGACTTCCATTGGTAGTTAGGAAAGAGGTAGACCACAGGATCTCAGGCAGAAGTCTCTTTAAATAATAATCCTTCTTCTTCCTCCGTAGAACTGCTGCTATCTGGAACATAAAAATGAGAAGAAGTAGACTTTAAGTAACAAGGATCAATCTATATACTGAGCAAGAAAGGATTTTATTTGGCATTTACGCTCAATGGTTTAGCATTACTCTGAAATGGAAAGTCAAATAGTGCTACAGAAATATGTCAGTGTTGAAATCAAGCTGAACTTTATTGGCTATTTAAAATCATATCAAGATAATTTCATTTATGCAGTGTTATATAATCATTTCATTTTTCCATTTAAAGCTGCAACACATTTAACAACTAAACTCTGTTTTACTGCAAACTTTACAAATATTTATCCACTAGGGCTATATGATTTAAACAAAAAGTAACATTTAAAATTCTTTTTTATTTTTTACCAGCGCCGTGTAGAGCTGTAATTATATTTTAGTTTTCCTTTAACTAACAAAAGGCATACACATGTTAAGGCTCACAGGTTTCATTATTTTCATGCCCTTGAATGCGCTCTTGTCCAAAGTCCAGTGTCATGGCTAAAGGTGCTTACTTTTGGCTCCCATGTGCAGTCAACTCTATTAAAAAGTGCTATATATACATTTTACATTTCCATTACAAAACAATTATTGCAGCTTGGAGAAATGACTGATGCAAATACTGAGCTGATACGATATTTGCATGCATCATACTTTTATTATTTATTTTGTAGTAAGGAATGTTAGAAAATCATTATATTTTCTTAATCCCAAAAGGGGAATTACATCTTGTATTGATTATAATATAATTATATAGATATTACTCAATAGAGAACAATAGTCATTGAAGATAAGGATGAAAACAACTGACTCATGCAATATTAACTAGCCGGTTAAATAAAATGTAGACAGAAGCTGAGTGTTTCTATCAACAGGCCAAAGTGGCAAATTTTAGATGCAGGCCATTATAATCAAGATAATTTTTTTTTTTTTTTTTTTCCTGATATTAGACTGCTATCCGATGGCGATATAAGATTGGGACAACCATAAATGTGTGTGCTTGGAGGACAACAGCTTGAGCTATTCAAGGTTTCAAACTTGTGGAAACATAAATGTCTTTGTAATTTTCTTTAAACAGCAGAAATAACATTGAGAATTGCATAAACTAAGTGGTCAGGGCATAGAGCAGGGGTGTCAAAGTGGTTCCAGAAAGGGCCATGTGGCTGCTGGTTTTCTTTCCAACCAAGCAATAGCACACCAGACTCCATTCATCCCATCAAGTCATCAGTTTAAGACTAGACTCACCTTGATGAGATGAATGGAGTCTGGTGTGCTACTGCTTGGGTGGAAAGAAAACCAGCAGCCACACGGCCCTTTCTGGAACTAGTTTGACACCTGTGGCATAGAGCTTGGAATCCTGAGGTTCTGAGTTCGAGCCCCACTCCCACAGACTGCCAGTATGAGTTCTGAGCAAAGACCCTTAACCCCACACTGCTCCCTGGGTGCCCCACGATGGCAGCCCACTGCTCCCCAAGGGGATGGGTTAAATGCAGAGGTAAATTTGTCCAATTTGAGGTCAATAAAGTTCAATTATTATTAGAATAAACTTGACCATCAAATGCCAGAGACATAGCCCGCGTGACCAGAGTTTTCTCTGGTTGTTTCCAGTATAACAGTGCTACCCAATCTGTTAACAACTGGCTAAAAGAAAACTGACTCATTTATATATTTCCTTAAAGCTTTTTGGAAAAATTATCACCAAAAATACACAGTTGCAATGTGACAAGTAAGGAAACGCCAACGGAACGCCACAATTAAATCAGAATTGTAGCTTGAACCTAGATGGTTGTGTTATATGTCGCCTTACATTACAAATAATAAAAAGAAAAAGAAATAACAATATGCAACTTAATTCTAGAAAAAAATTTTTTATAAATTAGTGGGCATCCTTCTTCTATGTCTTTTTTCTTAAGTCAAACACAAATTTTCAAAGTTTACAAATGTGCTTTATAGCAAAAAGATCAATTATTTTTTGTAGCAATTTAAAGCTATTTTCTTCTACATTTTAGTGCAAATAAAAGCTGATGTTATCATATAGACAAGAGGCAGGGAAAGCCAGTTATTCCTGCTGTCAGATCACATATTTACTAACTATATAGTTGTACTTTGTCCTGAACAGACAAATATGGTAGTTCTAATTTTATGGGTGCTTACTTGAAAGTGACCTTGCACTTTACAACCCCTAGTTGAACCAAAGTTTTGATTGGTTAAAAAAAAAAAAAAGTTAAAAACTTTGCTTTGAAATTCATCCAAACAAAGAGACACAATTTTAAAGCAAAAGGCTAACAGTTTTATCCTCTACAAGTAAAAATGTACCCTGTGGTTCAATGGCTATTGCATGGTCAGACTGTGTGGGACAGAAATGCCATATAATTAAAGCCACTGAGATATAAATGCACTATAAGCACATCTTTACCAACCGGCTGAGTCATGTCACGGCTGAGAATATCAGCAGATAATGCCAGTTAAAGAGAAAGTAGTACTACTGGATGTAATGAAGAACTCATTGTATCCAATGTAGCTGAGCCATTTTCCAGTGTCCGCTAAAACCGTTAAAGACTTTTCAAGGCTTACTCCGAAATAACACTAAACTTTACTCCAGTTCACCTTCTGCAAAGCACAAACCCGAATTAACGGGAGCTTTCCGTTTGTCCACAACTTGGAGCAGAGTTGTAGCATTAGCTAATCTTTATTGGTTTTCTTACTGGATTAGCTAGACAACTTTACTTAGCATTAGAGTCTACTGACAGACACCCAAACCACCTTACCAGGTAAAGAGGGGCGTATATTTTGAAGGAAACCTCCAGAGCCCCCCTGGTTATATCTGCGGCAGCTTGTACGCACGATGGGTGCCAGGTATGTCCGACCTCATAGCAGCTGTGTGGTATCTTACTTAAAGCAGCCATGACTGTGTGGCTGAATCGAAACACTCTGCAGCAAGGGGCGGCGGCGGCGGCGGGGGTGCGCGCTCACGAGAGCACTGGGCCCTGCGCCGTTCGTGCACGTACGCTGCGTTCAAAGTACCCCGGAAATTAGAGTGTAGTAGTCAGGCCTTCGAAAAGTGCATGAATTAACTAAGGTTGAATTGAGAGATTTATTTATTTACGTATTTACTTATTTGTCACATTTTTGTTTTACAGCAAAAATATAAAGAAAAATATATAATTTTTTCTTTAGAAATGAAAGTTTACATTTAACAAAATAAAAGAGAACAGCTCAAACTAGCCTTCTACAGTGGACTATTTCCTCTAAGCCGGAGATCTTCAACAGGGGGTTTGTGACCCCTAGGGGGTCCACGGAGCTACTGTGTGGGGGTCGTGAAAGTTTTGGTTAATTAGACTTCCCCACTGCAAATTTTTCCACTAATTGAAATGTTTTTAAATACACA